GGGGGGGGGGGGGGGGGGGGGGGGTGTTGGGCATCATAGAATTACCACGTAGGTCTTAGTCCATTTTCCTTCAATTCACTGCATTGTCTTTTGTTGGGACCGTGAGTTTAGATCTCTTCTAAAGCTTGGACTGCTTCAGATGTAGAGTACAAAGCACTCTTGAAAATTTCTTGTCTCATGAATGCAGTGTATACCTTTAGTACCTTTCAACATTGGTGGAAGAGATGTTCAATGAAAGAATTGGAATATGTAGCAGCCTGCTGCAAGAGTAATTTGCATTCACTTGTTCATGCTCTTGGTATTAATCAGTTTTATAAGTGATATGCAGCACCACCTTCACCAAGTGATCCTACAGTGAAGAAAGTTGCTGACAAGCTAGCAAGTTTTGTGGCTAAACATGGAAGGCAATTTGAGCATGTTACTCGCCAAAAAAATCCTGGAGATACACCTTTTAAGTAAGTTCTTGCTGTGTTTAAAAAAATCCTGGAGATATGCCTCATAACATTTCCCTTCCTGCTACTTCTTTCTAGTACCTACGGCTTCTATTGGTATTTGATGTTTAGCTTCTCAAAAATCATCTATTAATAAAATGTCTATCATGTTTGCAGATTTCTGTTTGATGAGAGTTCTGCAGATTACAAATATTATGAATATCAGCTAGCTGAAGAAGAAAAAGTTCTTTCACAGACCATCGAATCTAAATCATCAAATGGTTTGGGCTTCCCTCTTGATTCTCATATTCTATTTGTTGAAAGCAAGAATTGATGTCATAATGAAAATTGTGTGTTACATTGTGTTGTTAGTTTTGTTTTGTTTTTCTAAAAAAATTTCCTCAAATTTCTTAGGGACAAGGCAATTGTGTACTTTTAAATTTGACGATCTTTAGGTATCAAGTTGTAGAACTTTTGGGATTAAAAGAAATGTATTCTTGGATACGACTTCTTTTCTTATTTTTCTTGTAAATTTTTTCCTATGAAATACAAGGTCTCATTTTTTATGAAAGACATTATAGGGGCTGCTTATTTGGGATATTGAATTGTTTTTTCACATTCACTTTCTCTTTTTCTATTTGTAGATGGTGGGAGCACGCAAACATCTAAGCCAAAGATTGGTTCCCAGAAATCTTTCCAGCAGCCTTCCTCATCAAATTATCGAACTCCTGCCTCTGCTTTATACGAACCATCTGAAGATTCAAGAGCTTCCGTGGGTTCATCTAATACTACTGCATGGTCTGAAAGGACAGGTAGCATGCTTCTTCCTTTTGTTATGGGTATGGAAAAATGAGAGAGTAGGGAAAATGGGCATCTTTTATATCTGAAATTGTGGGAGAAATTTATCTGAACGCTGTTCAGTGCTCACCATGATCAATGAATTGACATTGTAATTGGGCTTGTGGTTTTTGCACTTTAAGGTGAATCTAGGTCATCACCAAGTGGAGATCCAATTGCAATGATGGAATTCTACATGAAGAAAGCTGCCAGCAAAGAGAGGATGAGACAACCTAAACTGTCAAAAGATGAAATGCCTCCTCCTGCTTCTCTTCAAGGTATCAATACCTGCTGGGGTGTAACTGGTTGACCGTTAATCATTATTAATGTAGCTTTTGGCTTTATTGGTGTTATTGCCTGAACTTCCTTTCTTTTCATTTCTGGGGGTGATCTGCAGCTTCAGGCAAAAGGGGGCATCACATGGGTGACTTCATTCCTGATGAGGAGCTTGAAAAGTTCTTAGCTACATGCAATGATGCATCTGCCCGAAAATTTTCTAGAGAAGCCGCTGATAAGGCTAAAATTCAGGCTGATAATGTGGGGCACAGACTCCTATCTAAAATGGGATGGAAAGAAGGTTCTCCCTCTCCTTTACATAAACCATTGGACTTAACAATGCTAAATCGCCTTATAATTTAGCTCTTTTTTAATTAGATCCATCTTTATTTCCCTTTCCTGAAGCCTTTGAGAAGTCATTAGATTTCTTCTTCTGGAGCTTATATTCAACCATAAGTTTAGATTATGATTCCCAACTCCCGTTACTTTGAAAGTTCATTTCTTAACGGAGGAACCCTACTAAAACTGGCAAGAGAATCGCAGGTGAGGGTCTGGGAAGCTCCAAGAGTGGCATTTCAGATCCTATAATGGCAGGTGATGTAAAAATGAATAACTTGGGTGTTGGAGCTCATCAACCCGGTGAGGTGACTCCCGAAGACGATATATATGAG